TGTTTTAACTAGCATTTCCATGTTATAGGACTCAAATTTGCTTTCTTGTTACCCTGAAATTACATGCGAAGCACTGTTTAAAATTCCTTTTTTTAATCATGAATCTAGAGGTACAATGTGTTCAAGGCTTTTATTTGTGGCGCAATAGTTCTTCTGAGATGAATGATGAAATGTATAGAGGTTACATGAAAGGGAACTCTGAGCTGGAGATAAATGAGATTGTTGGAGGTTGGTTGCCTTCAAACTATTAATTAATTGTATAATGTGGTTTAGAAGAAAGAAAATGTAATTTGTAGGCTAATGCTGATGATTATGATCTTTCCACAGCTTATGATTTCTTAAATTCTGATGGGAATAATTTTAATGCCACCATCTGGTACAATGCTACCTATAAAAAGTACACTCCTGGTCTTCCAATAGAATTGGTGCGAGTTCCGCGATCTGTAAATCTGGTATGTACTTTGAATTTGTAATTTATGCCTTGGTGATGTATTCATTTGCTATTTGTTAAGCATGACACCTAGATAATTCTTAAAATTTGGTATATTGTGTTAAGTGGTTTCCAGATTGCCTCTACGGATTAGGAACGAACGTCAAGCATATCATGTTTTACCTCTCAGAAAAATGATACATCATAGTTTAAATGATTGAAAAATTCAAGCTGCAAAACATTTTTCTTGCTTTAGTGATATTTGAGTGATCCAAATTTATTTGCTAATTTGCAGATGTGATTATAAAGTTGATAAGCACTGATATTAGACCGTACACTTGTACAGGTATCCAATGCCTACCTTCAGTTTTTGTTAGGTAGTGGAACAAAAATGCTTTTTGAGTTCGTCAAAGAAATGCCAAAACCGGAAACTAAACTCAGACTGGATTTGTCATCTGTTCTGGGGACACTCTTCTTTACCTGGGTTATTTTACAGCTGTTCCCTGTAAGTATATAGGAGCTAATGCATTTCTATTTGACCTTTTTGTCGATCTCATATTTTCCTCAGACATTCCTGTTATGCAAAACTTTAATGTATCACCATTTGGTATATTGTGTTAAGCTAAGGCTTTTTTTTTTTTTTTTTTTTTTTCTATTTTTTAAAAATCTTAGTTCTTTATAGGATTGTACTCCTTTGTCCCAAAATAACTGTCCTTTTTTGACTTTTTTCACAAATTAAGGATTTGAGCACAATATTTGTATTTATCTATGATACCCTTAAAAAAGAAATAGAAGACAAAAAAAGATTTTTTGTGATTTGATGATTAATTAAAATGAATAGATAATGATAGGGTTAAATTAGGAAAAAATTCTCCCTTGAAATATGAAAAAATGGCAATTAATTTGGGACAAATTTAAAGTAAAAAAACATGGCAAAACCCTCAAACACATCCCTCAAATAGGGGGGCAGGGACAGCTTCACCCCTCAAAAAAATGCAAGGACAAACTGCCTCTCCAAATTATAAATCAAGACAAATCACCTATTTTTTAACAGATTCTGTCACCTTTTCGTTAAAAAATGCTCACATGGCAAACAAAATCCATTAAAAAAATGAGTGATTTGTCTTGATTTATAATTTGGAGAGACAATCTGTCCCTGTATTTTTTTGAGGGGTGGGTTTGTCCTTACCCCTCTATTTGAGGGGTGAATTTGGGGGTTTTGCCAAAAAACGTCAGTTATGTTAGGACATAGGAAGTAGTTCATAAATTTCTTAAAATGCAAAAAATAAAAAATAAAAAATAAAATCTTCTCCATTGTTTGTTTTGTGTGTTTGATCTTGGAGTTGTAAGTGTAGAGGCCCATATAATATTTGAGCCCCCAATTTTCCCCATAATTCACCAAAGTGGAGTTTCCAACTAAACACCAGGGAACCTAGGATTTCCCTGGGATTAAAAGTGGTCTATATGCATAATTGTAAACATGGTGACTTCTGGTCTAGGAGGTTCTCTAGGCTTAAATCTTTTATTCATCTTGTACTGCTGTTCAGTTATGATGTCTATGGAATAATATTTTGATATTTGAATAATAAACTATTTTCTCCATCTATCCCATTATTCATAGATCAACATTTTGCTTTTTAATGTAGGTGGTGTTGACATCATTAGTGTATGAGAAACAGCAGAAGCTGAGAGTCATGATGAAAATGCACGGCCTTGGTGATGGACCTTATTGGATGATATCTTATGCCTATTTTCTTGCCATATCTTTGCTGTACATGTTTTTCTTTGTGATCTTTGGATCAGTTATAGGTACTAATCTGTTCACGTAACTTTAACATTGTCATCATTATTATTATTTTTATTTATGATCCCTTAAATATGGTTTACTTCTTTCCAGGGTTGAAATTTTTCACACTTAACGACTACAGCATCCAATTTGTGTTTTACTTTCTCTACATAAATCTGCAAATTTCTCTGGCCTTCCTACTAGCTGCAATGTTTTCAAATACAAAGACTGCTTCAGGTTTGATTTACTAATACCACTAGGAAATTTGTTTTTATTTTAAAGATTAGTTCAATGACTTGTTTCTTTTGAGCTCTGACTGTGGCTTTCTGATAATTATAGTGATCTCATACATATGTGTATTTGCAACGGGCCTCTTAGGTGGCTTTCTCTTTCAGCCGTTTCTTCAAGATAAATCATTCCCAAGTACGTTGAACAATTGTAAAAAGTGTATCTCTATCATAAACAAGGGTTTGAGGGTATATTTTAGCTTATTTGTTTCAAAACATGAACTCTTATTAATGGGAATTTGATTGGATGACTTTTCAAATGAGCTAAGTTTATTTGTTCACATGCTACAGAACTATTTTTTATCTTTAATGAATTTGTTTTCCTAGCAACTTTGCAGGAAAGAGTTGCAATTTGTATTTGTACTTATTCCAGGCTCCCTCCTTTTTTTTTTGGTTACAGGAGGCTGGATTATCATACTGGAGTTATATCCTGGCTTCTCTCTTTATCGTGGATTATATGAGTTTGGACAGTATTCTTTCACAGGAAATTATATGGGAACTCATGGGATGCAGTGGGGAGATTTGAGTGACAGCATGAATGGGATGAGAGAGGTCTTGATTATCATTCTTGTTGAGTGGATTGTGGTACTTCTTGTTGCTTATTATGCTGATCAAGTGGCATCTTCTGGAGGAGGGAAAAGTCCTTTATTTTTCTTGCAAAACTTTCGGAAGAAACCTCTTCCATCTTTTAAAAGGCCTAGTTTGCAAAGGCAAGGGTCTAAAGCTTTTGTTGATATGGACAAACCTGATGTCTGTCAGGAGGTAACTTTTACTTTTTCTAGTTTATACTTCAGTTTCCGTTATTGTTAGAGGTTGGAGAAGGAGCTGGTGAACATTCCATGGAGAGAAAATTTACCACAAGCTTAAGTGGTAGATTTTTTATTTCTTGAGTTAGAAAAATAGAACGCTTGGATTATTACCTACTTGCAAACAGGTCCTCTTTTCCAGTTTATCCATGATTGTTTGTTTGTTTTGTCTTCTATAATTAAAATAGTGTGTTAGAGCAGATGCCTATAGAGTCATTTATTTACTGAGATATGAGGATGATGCATTTATTTAGGATTCATTATTTTGACAGAGGGAGAAGGTTGAACAACTGCTACTTGAATCCAGCACAAGTCATTCCATTATCTGTGACAATCTCAAAAAGGTATATCCAGGAAAGGATGGAAACCCTGAGAAATTTGCAGTAAGGGGGCTATCTCTTGCTTTGCCTAGAGGCGAGTGCTTTGGCATGCTGGGACCAAATGGTGCTGGAAAGACCTCCTTTATTAGCATGGTATGTACAATTCTTTATTTTCTTCAATAAATACAATTCTGGAAACTCACTTTCATGTTTTGCACCATGTATCTTCTGGTTTTGGTCTTTGATCCTTACAATACATTTACAATTATTTGAATTCTTCTTTGGGCAGATGATTGGACTCACAAAACCAACCTCCGGGACAGCATTTGTTCAGGGTTTGGATATACAGACTCATATGGATGCTATCTATACCAGTATGGGTGTCTGCCCACAACATGAGTAGGTTATTCAATAGAAAAAAAAAAAAAAAAAGGGAAAAAAGCTACCTATCTTTCTCTTGTAGAAAGTTTTCTTATATTCTCTCTTGCTCTCTGTTTTTTCCTTTGGCAATTTCAGCCTCCTATGGGAAACCTTAACGGGAAGGGAGCACTTGCTGTTTTATGGCAGACTGAAAAACCTCAAAGGTTCTGTCTTAACTCAAGTAAGTTGATATTTTTTTGCTTTGAGATTTTTGTTGAACTTATCTTGCCATAACTGATTCTCTGAGATCTTATTTTAATTGTAAAATTATATAAGGTTCTATGAGAATTTCCTCGTAGAAATGAAAAGTAAAAATTGATTGATTAATGAAAGTGACAGCATAACTGTCATTATTTAAAAAAAATAAAAATTTGTAATGAAGAAAAATGCATGTATGAGAGATTAAATCACTTTCCATCGAAATTTTAGGGAAGAGAACTAGAGGATAAGATCATGTTGCGTTGAATTTCAGAAAACAAAATTTTAAGAATTTTCTTAGAAGTTCATTTCTATCCTGTTTTCTTCAGGCAGTGGAAGAGTCTCTAAAGGGTCTCAACCTATTTTATGGGGGTGTTGCTGACAAATATGCAGGGAAATACAGTGGAGGTATGAAGAGGAGGCTCAGTGTTGCCATTTCTCTGATTGGGGATCCCAAGGTGCATCTTCATTGGTCTATCAATCTGATTTTCAGTTTTGAGACTTAGTGATCTTATAATATGCTAATGTTGTATGTGACATAAAGTCATAATCCCTTGATATTTTGCAAGGTTGTTTATATGGATGAGCCAAGTACTGGACTAGATCCAGCTTCAAGAAACAATCTATGGAATGTTGTGAAACAAGCAAAGCAAGACCGGGCAATTATTCTCACCAGTATGTCTCTCAATTCCTCTCTGTTGAACTTGTAGGACTATATTTGAAAGGAAAATCCCTTTTGTCCCTCAAACTTTACCCAAATTCTCATGTAAGTCCACAAGACATTTTTGTGAGCGACATAGTAAAGGACTGTCCCTAATGCGTATTGACCAATAAAGCTTGTGTGGATGTTTTCAGCACATTCAATGGAAGAGGCAGAGGCTCTCTGTGATCGATTAGGGATTTTTGTAGGTGGCAGCTTGCAGTGTATAGGAAACCCAAAAGAGGTATCACATCTTCAGATAATTTGATTTTTACAAATGTTCCACTGCATCCAATTACTCAATGTCCACTGCATACAATTTACTCAATGTCCATTCCATACAATTTACTCAATGTCCTCAAACAAAATTTTGGCACGTAAACCTGATTTTTCTATGGGAATGACAGTTGAAAGCTAGATATGGAGGATCTTACATATTTACCATGACAACTTCTCCGGAACATGAGGAGGAAGTTGAGAACATGGTACACTGTCTCTCTCCAAGTGCTAACAAAATATACCAGATATCGGGGACGCAGAAGTTTGAGCTGCCAAAACAAGAGGCGAACATTGCAGAAGTGTTCCAAGCAGTGGAGAAGGCAAAGAGCAGGTTCACTGTTTTTGCTTGGGGTTTGGCTGACACCACTCTTGAGGATGTCTTCATCAAGGTTGCTCGTGGAGCACAGGCCGTTAATATCTTGTCTTGATTTGCCTCTCATATTTAATCTTCATATATAATGCTATTTTGTACTTTTATTCAATTTAAACCTTCACAGTATATTGTTGACATTCTAAGCTGAAAGTCTAATGGAATTTATTTCTGGATACGTAACCCTGTTCTGTTAGCGCATTGCATATTTGAAGGATTAATCTTGCAGGCGTGAATGTTTTGTCTTGCTTCTGGTTTGAAGGCGTGGCACTAGTTAATGCCACTTTATATTGTACTATAAATAATTGTAAAAAACTATTATATCTATAGCACTTTTGTAGTTTGTTAATATTTAATATTTTTTGATGTGACGATTTTACATTGCCACATTTCTCTAGAGTTTGGACTTCGGATGGTCAAGGGGGTTTTCAATCAAGTTGAGCTAAAATTTTTTAGATGTTAATCTCCTGAATTTTAAACTTATATTTCGTCTATAAATTAACACTTGTTTATTAAAAGCTCCAACTTAGGAGCATTGTTTTACATGAACAATTGCCATATTTCAAAATGAAATGCATTAGATGGAGGGAAGAATTTTTATTTTATTTTATTTATTTTATTCATTTATTTGTAGGCGGGAAGAGCTCTTTAGTTGACTTCTCTAATGCTATCCCCAGTTCATTGGAGTAGTAAATTTTATTCCGTCCGTATATTTTAGTAGATTTAATATGATATTTTAATTTTTTAAATAAAAATTTT